AAATGGCAGATGCAATCGCATCTATGCAAAGACGGTTGTGAGTTTTCAGCAGCACTGTGTATGAAAACAAAAGGGAACAACCTCAAAATTCTTCAGAAGAGAATTCGCTAAGTATAAGCCCATGGAATGGACTACTGTGCATTTCTCTTAAAAATGAAGTTTCACAGCTTTGTAGGGCTATTTGCATAGTTGTATATAACAAGATTTACTGTTCTCCAACTTAACATCTGCCTTAGCCTTATGCTTCTCAAATATGTCCATGTCAATCGGTATATCCCAATTAGCTTGTGTTGTGTAATATTTCACAAGTGAATCTACATTCATCATCCACTCTCCTACCAGTGGATACCGGGGTAATTTCCAGTTGGGCCTTGTATGTAGCCGCCACAGGAGCAACCCACCGCATGCCTCTTGTACTGATTACTCTGAGATTCCCAGGAGTGGAGTTCTCAAACCTACCATGTGGTTATCTGAGAATTTTATGAATATTTCTAAGTTGTTCTCAAATGCAGCTGTGGCCACTCTGGCCTCCAAAGAATTTGGCCAATATATTAAACCTTATCCTCTTAATCGTCAGACTAGGTACACTGAGGGACATCTTTCAGTTTCTTTTTCAAAGAAGTTCCACTTTCTTCCCCCATTAGTTAGAAATTCTACAGATTTTTATATATTGATTTTATACCCTGCAGCTTATTCATTTGACAGTTTTGTGGGGGGAGTCTTTTGAGTGTTCAATATATAACACCATATTTATCTGAAACTTTCTCTTTCTTCATTAATTGACCTAGCAAGGACGAAATACATTAAAAGGATCAGTCACCAGGATCAAGTGGGGCTTATCCCAGGGATAAAAAAAATCCCCAGCGCCTATAAAACTGTACTACATAATATAATGTAAGCAACAATAAAAAAAAAAAACAAAAACAAAAACAAAACAAAAAAAAATGGTTCAATATACATGTATCTGTATTAAAATAATACACTACTTTTATAGGATGGAGGTCATCTCAGTGGTTACAGGAAAAAACATTTGACAAAATTCAGCTCCCCTTCATGGTAAAAGTTCTCAGGAAACTAGGTATAGAGGGCACGGACACAATGCCGTATAATCCATATATGACAAAATCACACCTTATTCCACAGGGAAAACACCAAAGTTTTGCCTCTGAACTCAGGGAGTAGACAATATTCATTCTTGCTACTTCTATTCAGTGTAGTCCCAGTAAGCAAGAGAAAGACATATCTGACACACAAGTGCTTTTCCAAAGGGTTGATGAAAATGCAGATTGTGAAAATCTAGCATAGATTTAGAATTTCCCCCCAAAAACACACATGTCTTTTCCTTTCATTTTCTCATTTTCTATGAACTTTTTCAATTCTCCTTGTGTAGTATTCAGAATACATAACCATGTATTCAAACACATCATTTCAAAGGGGTAATGATAAATGCTAACTTCACAATCAGTTCTGTCTAGGAAGGGGGGCGGAGATGAAATGATAATGCATGATTGGCTTCAAATCTATCATTCGCACTGTCTTAAAATAAACTAGATTAAACATGCATTAACATTAGGACTTGGCAAAAACGCATTCAAGTATTATTTTTATCTGTATGTCTAAAACATTATGTATCAATATGATGACCTATGAGGTTACATCAAAAAGTTTATGAACTAAGGTTGAAATAAATGATAAGTTCATTTTGGTGCAAAAACTGTTTCAAATCCAGGCCTAGTTTTTAATACTACATATTTTCTGTGAACCTTTTCGTGATCCCTTTTATGTTTAGTTAAACATTTTAGGACACTTTGGAAAAATGTAGCTTCCTTCTGTGAAAGGATGAGATAGTGCTTCTACTTGCCAGTGTTTGTCTTCTCTCAGCATTTGGAAAGTTTAGAAATATGTATTAAGTTTATAAGTTTTAAAATGAGAAGGGACTAGCTCAGGTCAGCCCCTTTCTTACTGTATGTATAAGACAAAAGACTTAAAGATCTCTAAACTCATGTTTCCCCATCTGTAAAATATGCTAAGAAGCATCTACTTCGCAGAACTACTGTGAAGATCGGATTAGGAATTATTCATATGAAACATCTTACAGAGTGCCTTTTACAATGTAGGCACTAAATAAATAATAATTGTTTACATTATTAATAAGAATGTAGACTGCTCTGTTTGCAAATTGACTCACCCTGAAATGTGCAGAGAAAATAGCTGTCAGTTCTTTATTTCTCAATGATTGATCTGTTCTTCCACTTGGCTCCCCATGGGGGGAAAAGGATCTTACAGCCAGAAAACTTAGTTTGATTCAATAATTTAAACCCACAGTCAATGTTTAAATCTCTTGCCATAAGTGGTGTCTCTTCAGATATAAATATTTGCTCTCTGATTACTGTTGCCTTTCTGGGTTGGGTGTGGCAGATTTAGGGACTTTTAAAAAGGGAGGTGGGGTATGCCCATTCACTCAGTTACATTTATATTTCAGGTAATCTATAATTTTCCAGTGTAACTCAAATACTTCCTGAGAGGCATTTGCAGTAAGAGAATACTCATTGTTTATCCACCTGAAATTTACAGGTATCATGCATTTTATATGGCAACTCCTAACTGTAAGTGGGTAAGGAGCCAGTGTGATGGGGAAAATGCCCCTGGACTTCAAGGACTGAGTGTGTACTTGATAGTCTCTGGGTCCAGGAACAATGGACAAGGATGTGTTCTGATATCTGTGGGTCCTTGACCTTAGTCTGTATGCCTCAACATAAAAGGACCATGCTGATGCTGGCCACCCTACCTCTCTTTGAAGAACATCTCTTTGCCTTTCAAACAGTGCTGCTGGTATCCTGAACTAGGATGTCTTCTCCTTAAGGCCTCTTCATGGCAGAATCAATAGCACCAGGTTCCCTAGCTGTCAACCCAGCCTCTAGAACATGTGCACTCAGAGATGTGCAAAGTCGTGAGAATGACCCTAAAGATGCTCAATTCCAGGCATCCTTATGCCTGACTATTGTATGTCTTTGATGCGGCTCTTCTCGTGAGTTCTAGGAATCTGAATCTCCAACCTGAAGCACAGCACCACCCAGCCACAATCTCGCCATGATGGATCTTTTCCTTCTGATCACTGCCACTCTCCTGTCTCTCACTTCTATGTTCTCCCTTCTTTTAAAAAATGTACTTTTATTGCAAAATCAGATATACAGAGGGGAGGAGAGACAGAGAAAAAGATCTTCCTTCCAATGAGTCACTCCCTAAGCTGCCACAACAACTGAAGCTGAGCCAATCCGAAGCCAGGAACAAGGAACCTCTTTTAGGTCTCAAATGTGGGTGCAGAGTCCCAAGGCTTTGGACAGTCCTCGACTACTTTCCCAGGCCACAAGCAAGGAGCTGGAAGGGAAGTGGGGCTGCCAGGATATGAACCAGTGCCCATATGGGATCCTGGTGTATAAGGCGAGGATTTTGGCTGCTGAACTACCATGCCCAACCCATACTTTCTCCCTTCTTTAGGACCTCTGACTTTTCTTTCTCCCTGCACAATCCAATTGAGTTAAAAGGGGTAACCTCATCTGTTTCTTCTCTATTACTCTCTGGTCACTAATTCAGTATGCACTCCACGAATGTGTGACTGACAGTAACCTCAGTGAATGGACACCAAGTTTACATGGAATGTTCAGCCTAGCATAGCTAAGGAGAAAAACAATATACAAATATATTGGTAACCACATATTGTAAGGTCCTGGCACAGTGTGGTGATGAAATCCATAAGGAAAAGGGAAGCTGAGCTAGAAGATGGAGTCTGATCAGATGGTCACAGAAGGATTTGAGATTGGGTGGTTGGGAAAGGCATCTAAGCAGAGCAGAGAGTTAAGCAAATAGATAGATGATAAACAATACCAACATCTGGGGTCAGAGCATCCTCAGGCGGGGAGAACAGTCACCCCAATGGGAGCAGAGCCTACAGGAAGGCCAGAAGAGATCTCTTCTGACTCAGAAAGCATTCCCCCCCTTTTTTCTTTCTTGACACTCCTTCAGCTACAAAAATAGAGAATTCAACCCACAAAGAAAGCTAATCAAAGGCCATTTTGTCTCAAATTTATACCTTCCTGATTATTCCCCAAGACTAAGGCAGCTCTAACATGGGGAAGCCACAAGCTAAAGCAATTCAAAGTGAAATGGAAGCATCCATCAATTTGCATTTTCAGAACATCCCTGTTATGTCAGTGAGTTTGAACATAGTGTGCTAAGACACCAGATTATGGAGTGGCTTTCCCAGAGGAGCTAACGAGGGTAGACATCTTTGTAAAAACTGACTTAGCACTGAGGCAAAGATCATTTGTCAGAATTCAATGAAGCCTTCATAGAATTTGCATCTGGAGAGTAAATATGAGGTTATTAAGGTATAAAATAATCATGCTTTGTAAAATCACGTTTCTTGCCATTACAATAATCTAAAAATATACAGGTGCTTCTCAATTTGCAAAAAGCTTACTTCCTGACAAACTCATAAGTTGAAGATGGCAGCGGTCAAAAAGCCTCTCAAACATCTTAACTTAGCAGCACACCACGCCATGGCTCATTGCTGCCTGCGCAAGGTTGTGAGAGAGCACTATATTGCACATATACAACCTGGGAAAATTCAAAAGTGAAGTACGATTTCCACCACTTTTGCACCATATCCAGTTTTGGAAGATTAAAATTCAAGACGTGAAATATGATTTCCACTGCTTTTGTACCATTGTAAAATGCAAAATCCTGTCATGCTATTGGGAGTCAGAAACCATGTTTACTTTGAACTGTGTTCACTGCAATGATGCGGGTATTTACTTAGAGATCTGTGCCTTCTACCACCCCAAGGAACTGGCCTCTGCCATCCTCCACTAATGGCTCTTCCATGAAATCGGGTTCTCTAAACACCACAAATCCCCAGATTGTAAAGAAATCTTGTCTTCTTTCTCTTTATTCTCAGCTAAACTAGTGGCCTCATTTTTGTTTCTTTTTTGACTCAACAGGTCCTGGAGTTCCAACTGTGACGGTGCACAACACAACAGACAAGAAAAGTAAGTGCCTTGTTGTTTTTTTTTTTCCCTAAATCTTGCTTAGACTCAGGATAAAGGAAGCAAAAACATTTCCTGAGATATTGACGCTTAAGAGAAACTGAAACAAGATGTATTATGAAACAACTTAGTGTTGGATTTGTGCTCTGAAATTCTTATTTTCAAACAGGTTTTAAAGGCAAAGACTAAACGCTTACATCATATTGGTTGGTAATTTACATGGATGAAGGCAGAGAAGCATGTGTCAGTAAGGGCTTGGATAATAAATGAATGCACACAAAGCATTCTCGGGGAGAGAGCCTGGGAAGGAAGGGAATGATGGATGAGTTGTCTCCATGACCATCTATGCTGTGAGCAAGTTTTGCTTAAAGAAACACTGTGGCTCTTGGCATGTAAGTAACATGAAGACGGAGATGTTTGGGTCTGCCAGGCTCTCAGCAAATGCTGCGGTGGACGATGCATCTGCACAGGGTCAGGTCCTGCAGTCAGGTTCCTCTTCTCTGGCCCGAGGTTTTGGGGTGCTTCATTCTGCTTTGTCTTTTGATGAAGGATTCACATGTGCCTCATCAGAGACAGAGAGATGAGTCATGTTCCCCATGCAGAATGAACCCCACTCAGGGGTAATGCTCATGACACACAATGAGGATTCAAGTCACAGAAGATCCCACCAGCCCCTTGCAAGCGTTGAGCCTGAAAGGATGGTGTGGGACTACACAGTCCTTGTCTGAAACACTGAGTGGAACCCAGGTGCTGACAGACAGCCTGGGGCTGTTGACTCTTCCTTGCACTGAGAGCTAAGTTTGCAGGGCACTTGGGGGAGAGCATCTGACTTTGTCAGTCTGGGTCATCCTCATGGCATGGAGAGCCTACCATCCATGTTGCTTCAGTGTAAGAAAGAAAAAGGTTTTCTATCACTTGTTAAAATAATAGGAAATATTTTATCTTGGGAATATCATAAGATATGACTATTGTGACAGGCAAAGACCAGGTTCAACCCTGAATAGGACAGGATAGCTGGAGATTTATGGAAAGTGGAGTGAAGGAGTCAGCAAATGAACGCATTGAGAGGAGATTTTTGCTAAAGAGTCAGGGATTTTTGCTAAAATAGCCCAAGTTCTTAGACATGAAAAGCAGGGGGTGAAGATATTATCAATCTGACTTGGGAAGATTTTTATTGATCTGACCTAACAGGAGCGTTGCTAAAGCAGATGCTGCAAGTGGAAAGCAGGAGGCTCGTCTAGAGGGGAATTCTAGGAACCTGGCTCAAGAGATGAAGTGTTCCTGAGTCTCTGATTCAGCACGTTTTTGCTTGAAAGGACCCGTGCAGGTTGCCAAGTACACATGTCTGTTATTGGAAGCATCTGAAATGATGGGTGTGGTCAGAGACAGTTGCTCAGGAAAGCTGTTATAGAAAACCCCAAAGCTGGTTGAAAGACTTCTACAGAGACCCCAAAACTGAATCCACTCACCCACTGCATAGCAAGATGACTGTTGACATTAGGGTAGTGGACTAAGGTAGGTATTCATTGCAAAGCACAAAGCAAGAAGCCAGGCACCAAACACTTAATGCCCAAGCTGCCACAGGGGTTAGAGGTACATGTTCTCATTGGTTGAAGTACAGACTGAGATGTTTGTATTCAGATCATGTCTAAGTCCCTGGTTGTTCTGAAGTACCTATGGCCTTCCTTCGCACTGACATCAAGTCCTTTAGGGAATTCAGATGATGATCAAGTTGGGTCTACATGAAGATGATAGTTTTTACTCAGAGCCAGAGATTCTTGGAAAAGAGATCCCTCAAAGCAAGACCTGACATCAAGAGGAGCTAAATGTTTTCATGCATCTGGTCTTAAGAGACCCTGCAGGGCTGGCTGTACCACTCCCTCAAGTCAGTGAGTTAGTGTTAGCAAGAGATTGATCTGTAATCATAAAAGCAGGGCAAGGGAGCTGCAAGCCAAGGAAGGGAGGCTGAGAGACTGGGAGATGAGCACCTGATGGTCTGTAGCATCTGCATCCAGGGCGCTGGATAAGGGGTCACTTTCACAGCTGAAAAGTGAAGAGAGATTGTCCATGGTCCCTCCCTCTGTAGACCTTGCACTGTCCTACCGATGATGACCCATATGCTTCACTGCAGTCATACTGGGCACCCTTTTGTCTAGCTTCAAGACTTGTGCCCAGGTTCCAGTTAAAGTAAAGTGAGATTAAATATTATTTGTTGAAAGAGATAACATTTTAAAAATCATCTTAAATAATGATCATTTTCTCCTAACTTCCTAAATAATTATTCAATGTTAAGTAATTAAGTCCGTAATCTAGAAGAAAAAAAGGCCAAAAAATCCATGTCAGAGTGAAGGGGAGCGGATATTGGGAAGGCCTATGATGGCCCTTTCATCATCCTCCTAGGAAGGGCTGGTTTGCCTAATGACTGGTACACCTGCACTCAGCCTCATCTCCAGCGTCACCAAGGCACTGTTGTAGAAAAGTGCAAATCTTGGAGAACTGGTCCATGTATGTGATGGTGTTGTGAAACAGCTGGCTCCAGGTTCTGGTTTCCAATGCAGGAAGGAGTTTCAGGACTAGACATGTGCCAAGCAAGGGACAATAAAGGCATGCAGTTTATTTGCAAAGTACAAGTACACACTCATGAGGAAGGCTGCCCATACTTGAGAGTGAGCTGTGCCCAGTGAGGGTGAGAGGCATTGTTTGTATGCTTGGAGGCATAGCACATGGTGTCTGGGGTACAGCTTGAATCTCACTCACTTTATGGCTTTTTGTAAAGAAGTATTGGAAATATTCTAGCCTCAGGTGTACAATGAGAGCCATACTGGTGTATTTGAGAGTCAGCCATGTTAATATTATTATAATAATATCAAAATAGAAAGCTATAGATCATTACAGAGAAGTAATGACCAGCTATGTTGGTTATTTTTTCTGGGCAATGGCTTTATGGAAACAACAGCCTTTCCAACACAAAGATGGTGGAAGGGTTGGATGAGAATAGGCAGAGTCATAGGGAGGGGATTCTGAGCTCAGCCATCTCCTTGGCTGTACTGACTAGGCAGTATCCCCTGAAGGATCTCAGAAGTGACTGCTTGGGTTTCCCAATGCCCATTCACTCCATCCACCCACATGCTCGCCACTCCAACAGGTGCAGATGTGAAGAGCCTATGGGAGGTTTAGCTACAGTATCGGGCTCAAGACACCTCCCCTGTGGGTTCTAACAGACATGTGCCAACATAGCAGGACTCTGTAGCAACTGCCATGCTTGGACATCTCTTTAACTGTGATTTTCACATAAAAATGCAGGTGTTCCACAGAGCCTCAGTTATGGCCCCTTTTAATGAAGAAAATGGCATTCACTTTGAATGTTTGTAACAATTTAGGATTACTTGAATAATGTCCCCATATTTTATGATATTTTGTCTTTCTTAAAAACCAAAGATCTGGTAAAAATCTGAGTAGGTGTATGATGTACTTAACAGAATTGTGCAAATGCCAGATTCCTGGCTTAGCTATTGCACTCCTGTTCTATCAGATGCCCCCCTAGTGGAAGGAGACACAGGACTCTATGTACCATTTTTGCAATTTGTTGTGATTCTCTCATGGTTTCAACTGTGAAAAAAAAATTATCAATGGTCCAATAGAAAACACACAGCTGTTTCTGGGGACTTAAACATATAATGTTTGGTTCTTTTTTTGAAAACTAATTCAAGTGTTTTTACTTGGTTCTTTGGATGCTGCTGGGTCTCAGTCAAGGGATGAAACGTTCCAGTCTTTGATTCAGCATGCTTTACAGTGCCTACTTTTGGGAACGATTTTGGGAAATCGTTTCTGTCCGTAAAATGCTGGATTAGTTCATCCTAGTTTTCCCAAGCTCTGTGTAAATAAAAATGTAGCCTGCTGATAGCATAGATATGTAAGAAAAATATTTTATTTATTTATTAAAAACAATATGGATGAGTGGGGTGGAGTATGATGCTTTGAAAGGATTCAGATAAGAATTTACTAAATATTCTCCAGTGAGTGCAATATCCTCCATCCCCCGGTGTCTTCGGATGTTTGATTAACTCTACAGGGAAACCCAACAACTGTCCAGTCAGTGTTGACAGACAGAGACCCTAACTTGTCATCCACGTTCCATGGAGGAGCTGCTTAAAGAAGCGCTGTAGGAAGCATTTTACTGTGTGTAGTTGAGCTGTCACCTTATGACTTCAACTCCCTGTGGCCAAGAGAAGGGACCCGGTAGGATAAAATGCCAAAAGGATTGTGCACACAGGATGGAGTTAGTATGACATGTTGATGTTCCTTTTCTTCCATGTGAAAGTTAGCAATGCATCAGTAAGGGAGACACCATCGTTCCTTATCTCAACAAATTGTCTGAGTAATGGAAAACTAGTCAGAATCTCTATTGCATTGTGATGTATGGCATTTATTTTACAAGCCCGTTTTTGAGGCTGTATTTGAACTTTGGTTTATCCTGTAGCTTAATTCAAAGTCCGGCAATATTACCCACTGCCCTTGTTTGATTCTCAATTCTAGTTGTCAGTTTAGGGTTTCTCAGAAGGCTAACTTGTCCCCTGGTTTTCACTTGGGGAAAGAATGACTACATTCGATTGAGTCATTTGTAATACCCACCCTCAAAGCAGGTAGCAGGGAAACCTACCTAAATATCCACTCTTCTTTCCTTCTTGGTTCAGTACCTGAAATCCCATCTTTCCATATTAATTCCAATGGATTTGTTTGTCATAGTTGCATGCAACTTTCTTTTAAGATATGTAAATATCATAAACATCACCTCCATTGACCATGTGAAATATAAACTCAAAGTAGCCATCACCCTGACAAGTTAGAAGACACTCCCCTCTCACGTGAGCCCATGAAGGTCTTCACAGCTGCCAACGTATCCTTCCCATCCACCATTGCTTAGGTGGCAGTTCTCAGCTCAAGGTGGATGCTGTGTAATGCTGCAAAATCTCTCATGTCTGCATTCCCTGCGGGAAGATGGG